TTTGATTGGTGGAATTTTGTAATTTACCAATAAAATTTTTCGAAATTCCCTTATTCGAAAATGTGGACAGTTTAAGGATAACATGTTTGTCGAACAGGTATTTAATTATTGTAAAAATACAAGTTATCTTTATTATCTTAAAAATGATGTCCTTTATATGATAAAATTACATAGATTGATATAATATAAATAAAATATAAATAATAATAAAAGATTGATAAAATGTAAATAAAATAATCATAATAACTCTTATCAATCTATCTGGAAGATTTGTGGACATAGATACACTGCCTGGAAGAAAGTATCGGGACACCTGTTTTTAATAATTACGCAAAAACTCACATAATGATTATACATAAAATTTTATCAAAACGTAGCTTAGATTTTGGTGAATGTGCTTATAAAATTTCATGTTTTTAGCCTTCATTTATATTTTTTAATTTTAAAAATACGAACTTCAATTAAATTTAAATTTTTAAAAATTTTTACTGTTTATCATCAAAATTACAAACAAATAAATCAATACCATGTTGGCCACCCATTATTAGCAATGTATTCCTCTATTCTCCTTGGCATGCTTTCAATCATTTTGTGATAAACTGTTTGAGGAATTTCAGACCATTCCTCTTGCAAAGCAAGTTCCAATTCTCGAGCATTTTTGGGATAAATTTCACGTTTTTTCAATCTTCTTTCCAACTCATCCCAAAGGTGTTAAATTGGATTGAGATCAGGAGACTGGGATGGCCAATCAGGTAATGTCACAATATTTTTTCTCTCATCCAAATGATTACATTATTCGCTGTGTGCACTGGTGCATTATCATCTTGAAATTTGTATCCTCTATTATGAAATTGTGTTGCAATTAACGGCATCAAATTATTTTCCAAAATTTCAATATAATCCTGATTATTCATCCGTCCATCTACTTTTACTAGTGGTCCTAATCCCTTTCCAGAAAAACACCCCCACACCATTATTCCACCACCACCATGTTTAACAGACGGTCTGATATTCTCAATATTGTAACGTTTGCCATTTTTCCTCCAAACTCAAGATGGTCCATCACTCCTAAAAATTTTAAAATGGGATTCATCACTCCAGATGACATTTTTCCATTGTCTCACAGTCCAACCTCTTCTGTCCAAACACCACTTTAATCGATTTTCTCTTTGCTGTTCTGTTAATAAGGGCTTTATTGCAGCAACTCTAGAAAAAACTCCAAGTTCATGCAAATTTTTTCGAATAGTTTTTGTTGATACTTGAATGCCACTTACTTGAACAAAACCTTTTTGGATCTCTTCTGCAGAACTACGATTTTTTTTTGTCACAATTTCTTTCAGGATTTTTTGATCATTACTTTTAACATTCTTGGACGGCCACTTCTTGATGCGCTTTTTAGACTCACTGCATTCTCATGACGTTGAATATTTTTGTGAACAGTAGATTTTGGAATTTTAAGTATTTTTGAAATCTTTCTGATACTACTACCACCTATTCTAAGACCTAATATTTTCCTCATTCAGTTTCAGTCAATTCCAAATTTTTAGACATTTTTAACATTTTTAAAAAATTAGATCAAAAAAATTTTAATCCATCAATTTTAGCACAGATCCTTTATTTTAAATAACAATATGTCTAACCATGGTAAAGTCATGAAATTTCAAATAAATATTCTTGAGAACCTAAGCTACATATTGATATAAATTTCTTTTAATTTTAATATGAAAAATTTTAAGAAATTGCAAAATTAAAAAATATACAAGGTTGATCATTGTGATTTTAATTGAAGTTTGTATTTTTAAAATTAAAAAATATAAATGAAGGCTAGAAACATGACATTTTATAAGCACATTCGCAAATACTTAAGCCACAAAATGATATTATTTTTATAATTTATTGTTATGTAAAATTTTGTGTAATTATTAAAATGTGTGTCCCGATACTTTCTTCCAGGCAGTGTAAATAATAAATAGTAATTAAAGACACGAAATAATTGATGTTACAAATAATGATTAATTATGTGTCACGTTTCCAGATGTAAATATTGATGTGCTACACAAGACGTTGTATATGATTACAAAGTAAATTGTTACAGCATTGTTCAACTGAATTATATTATGTTTTTTAAAAAAATTTATTAAAATTCAATAAACTTTAAAAAAACTTCAACATTTTGAAAAAAAAAATAATTTTTTTTATATTAATATATATTTTATACCCAGAATCCACAGCTCCTCCAAAGCAAATTATTTATTTTGAAATAATAAAATAGATAATTTTTACATTTTTTAAAAAATCAAGTTCCTATCTATAACTTTGCGTGATTTCATGTGACTTTGTATAATAAAAAAAATTTTTTTCATAATACATAGGTAAACTCAATAAGTTGGACACTTGATAAGTCAGATTTGGCCTAACTTGGACAAAAATTTCCAGCCCTTTTTTTTTATATTTAAAAAATTCTTGATAAGTCAGACACATATATAAACTCTTGTTAAGCTGTACAGTCAAAGCTCGTTACAGTGAACCCTTGGTTCCTGAGATTTTGTTCACTGTAACAAATGTTAACTGTACTGAGAGATCTCTTTATAGTGAACATATTATAAAATTTGTGTAAAGTTCACTATAACAAAAGTTTTTTAATTAATATTTATTTATAAAAAACTATACATAAATAGTTTTTACATATTAATA